CAATATTATATTGTACAATGTCAATGTTATTCTTCATTTCACTTGTTTGTTTGCTCTTGTTTGCTCGCTTGCATGCCCTGCATAGCTATAAGAAATACTTAAGTTGTTGGTCAAGATACAAATGCCTTCATCCGATGGAAAAAAGTAGAAAACATTACATTCAGTTGTAACTGCCAAAACAAACATTATTTACACTATTATGGCCCCTGTTGAAAAATGTTTGTAATGTTATCTACTTTAAATTGGTCGAAGGAATGCNCCTGTTAAAAATGTTTGTAATGTTATCTACTGTAAGTTGGTCGAACGAATGCCTCCTCATCCGGAAGCTGACCGAGCAGACCCGAGCAGCAGTCGAGAGGAGCCGAGCGCATCCGCGAAGCACACAACATGGTGACGTCGGAGTTCCCGTTAGCCGGCAAATCTAAATCTCTAAGGTCAAAATAAATTCCCTTTAGCGCAATACCGCTTCAGTTGCGCCACTTATGTGACAGACAAGAAGAGTATGTGACAGACAAGAGTAGTCAATTNGAGCAGACCCGAGCAGCCGAGTGCATCCGCGAAGCACACACAATGGCGACGTCAGAGTTCCCGTTAGCAAGCAAATCTAAATCTCTTTGGTCAAAATGTCCGGTCAAAAATAATTTCCCTTTAGCGCAATACCGCGTCAGTTGCGCCACTTATGTGACAGACAAGAAGAGTATGTGACAGACAAGAGTAGACAATTCTAATGTGTAACACTTAATGTGGAGAAAGAGATGTGCTGTATGGGTTGATTGTGCGTTGATCTGTTGCTAATGCCTCGGGGTTCCGGTGGGCATGTAAACAAATGCATAATGCTGCGCTATACTTTGTGGCATCACCCAGTTGCATAGCGACACTTATTGTTTAGGTCACGGTGTCTTTTAATAAGCAGGTAGTCATATCATTAGCTAAAACTAGCTGGATCTGATCGATATGGACATAAACGCGAGTGAAGTCTAATCTGACGGGAGAGAGAGATCAGCTGCTGCTGACGAGTCGACACGCAGCTCTGCATGATCACATGCAGCGGTGAGCGGACAAAACACACACTTCAGGTTAGAATATCACACGTAGCTATTTTAATTACCTCTCAAACTACCTAAACTAGTTAGAGATATGTTTAGTTTTACTGTCGGGTCACTCATTACTGGATCCGCGAGCTGCATGATACTGGTATAATAGATTGCCCGATCGGGCAACCAGCAGGTGAGGCTTCATGGCCCGAGCTAAATACTAGATGGCCCCGGGCCATCGGGCAGTCCTTAATGTCGAGCCTGATTAAATGTTACTAGACTCTAACCAGTACTGTTGCCCATCCATCAGGATTCCCTAGCCTCAAATACTCCCTCCTCCAAGTGGTCTTAAGCTATGGTCTTAAGCTAGGTAAACACCAGATTCCCCCTCTGAGCCCAGTCCTGGTAGCGAGGCAAACTGAGCTAACGGCTAACTATAGAAGTTGATGGTAGCAGTTAGCATTACTTTAGCTACAAGTAAAGCTTTCTGTCCAACAAGAAACTCCAAAAAGATGAGGGAGTGAGGATTTCAAGGGCACATAGTCGATGTTCTGGCTGTAGTCTCTGTGGTGGATTCAAGTGCACCTTTGTGGCCATGATAAGGCAACACAACAATCGGCCGTGTTGTTACTAGTTTGCAATCACTGCTAATAATTTCATGGAGTAACTTGTATCCCACATTTTAATGTAAAATGTCCCGTTTGGACTGTATTTTCAGGAAATATTCAAAAAGGAGGTCATAATGTAATATTTAGAGTGTAGGGCGTGGGCTAAAAGCTCCGTCCCATCTTGCACACTGAATATTTTAGTTCCCACCTCTCAGGATTCTGCTCAAGACCTTATATACCCCTAATTAAAGTGTGTGTGTGTGACAGTGTTTTGCCATTCTTGTGAACATACGTTACTTTCATGGACTGCACAAAAATGCAATAATGTCAAACGAGATGATTAGATTTTTTATTAAGGTGACATTTCTTGTGGTTTAAAAGAAAATCCGATGAAAGTAATATAACACAACTTAGACATCTCAACCAGTGTCTCTCTGTGTGTGTCCGGTGTGTGTGTGTGTGTGTGTGTGTGTGTCACAGGACCAGGCAGGCAGACAGCGCAGTGCCGTTGTGTCAGTCAGGCCTCTGGACTCCACCGCAGAGCAGGTAACTACCCTTCACTCTTTATTTTTACTTACTACTTGTCATCAATTCTTCTATATTTCATATGAGGTGGGATTTATTTTTGAATATTCTGAAGGCGCGTTGCTTTTGGTAGTAACACATTGAATAGGAGTCTGCATTGTGGGCGTGTGTGTGTGCACACCTTTCAGGTAGATGATGCCTCTTCCTTTCTTTCTTCCTCACTTCTTTACTTTTGTATCTGTGTTCTTGCTAATTTTATCTCTTTGTTTTCACATTTGTTTCCTTCTTCTTGACCTTATTGATCATTCTTAATGTATTTCTTTTATGAGGTATCTTGGAAAGTTACTGCTTGTCTCTTTTCACTCTTTGATGACTCCCACGTTTTTGAATATTTCTGCTTTAATGGCCATGTGTTCTTTTCATACTAATTCGGAATCCAAAATAAAAAAACTGCAAAAAGATTATTGCATTCATTCATGAAAGGGAGAGTAGATCTGCCTGTTTATTTGTTACATTTATTTTTGATATTTCAGTTTGACCAGGAAATGGTTACTACTGATTTTGCTATCTGTATCCATAAACGGGGAAACAATAAATGGTATCTTCTTATTCTGGATTACTAATTGAATACGAAAAGAACAAATGAAACAGTGATTCTTCACAACCCTATCGTAAAGGAAAATATTTGAGGTCACTGCAATGCAGCAGGGAAGAACAACAAAAGAGCAAACTATATTGTCTTCATATTTCACTGGTGTTGAAATTATGTATAAAACACAGTTAGTTTGAGTGGTGCTCTGGAAGCCTGACGCTCTGCTGGGGCTGGGAAAGTTCATCATTTTGAAGTTCTCATCGGAGGAGGCGGTGAAAGATTGCTCCTTTTTAATTCTCGGCTAGTGTGGAGCTTGAGAGGGACAACAGTGACAGTGTGTACTGTAGCAGCAGTGTCACATCTCCACGAGCTTTAAAGCCGGTGCTTATCACAGCATGCCGTCCCTTTTGTTTTAAAGCCTCCCCTCTTCATCTCTCTCTCTGCTTAGCGTACCTTCCCTCTCCTTCTCTCCCTTCTTCCCTCCCAGCATGTCATCTTTTTCACTTCTCACAACTCCCTTTTCACTCATCTCTCTGCTTTTCTTCCGAAAATGTCTGATCTCAGGAGGGGTTAGAGAGGCATCAAGACACTCTCACATCCCTAATTCCTTTCTTCTCTCCTGTCTGACCTTTCCCACCCTGATGTTGTTATGATGTTATATAATGATGACAGTTGCTCCTGATGTTACTCCATAGCCTTTATATTCACAAAACTTAATCAAAACACAGAAAAAAGGAGAAGCAAGATGTTTTGGGAGGCATTGTATGGCCACAGCCCTCTGCAACTCTACAAAGACAAATGTATTTGTAACTTTTTTAATATATATGTTTTTTTAAATGTCAGGGATTTATTTTCTGATATTTAGCTGTATAATTTTCATATCTTAAATGCAGTAATTGTAATCAGCCCCCGTAAGGTAACATAGATATTGTTTCTTCTTCGGTAGGTTTTGTCGCCATTTAGTGTGTTCTCTTATTTTATACTAACCCAGCAGATGGTTTTTCTACGTTTCCTATGCCAGCAACGCCATATTCTGCTGCCTCAATCGTCACCACATCATCAAATATTTGGAAGTCGTCTATTGCCGTTTTAAATGGAGATGTGGAGGCTATACATTTTTTATTAATACTGCTAACATTTTTACGTACAGAGGTTGTAGCCTTCAAAATCAGTCATGCGAGCTGTAAATTACATAACTTAATGAAATAACCATATTTAATTAAATATTCACCCATGTTTTTCTATTTTTGTCTCCATCTTTCACTTTTTTTATTCTTAACGACTGGTTATTTCATGTAGAGCCTCCACATCTCCATTTAAATCGTTACCAAATATTTTTTTAAGAATTGGTCATTTCAACAGACCCGACGCCAGAACAAATCTACAGAGAGGGCATATGATTTTCATGGGAGGGCACACAAAACCGTCATGTGCCGCGGCCAGTGTCAACGCCAGAGATTTTATTTTGTGGGTGCTGTGGGGTAGCTTGACGTTTCATAGAGGGTGCTCAAACATGTAGGGTTTCCCATTAATGTACTGGGCGCTACAGCGGAATTTTCTAGTGCAACACTCCCACACGCACATACACAGTACTCTCAACACCCATATGAAACAGAACTGTTAACCGATTTTCTATTTCTTTATGGATATTTTACAAATCACTCCCCTTTTAAACTGTATTCTTGTTTTACTGTCATATAGTATTTCATACCTGTTTTTCATTTATTACGCTGATATTACTATTTCACACCACATACAGCGTAGCATTAAAGTTCACCATTTTTAATTTTTATAAATAATAAAAAACGTGTTTATTGGGGGAGGGCAGGAATGTCAAATGGGAGGGCCCTCCCACGGCGCCGGGTCTGCATTTCAATGGCACATTGCTGATAGAACTATGAAGTGATTTATATTATAGTTGTGAAATTTTTTTTTTTTTTCTCAGGGCAGTGGTACTGCTGCTTTTAGTTAAATGTGTCTCAAGAAACAGCCTTAAATGGCTGCTGGTTTCCCCTCTATAGTAGCAGTCACATGAATGTTAGCTAATTTACTCCTCATGTTGCACCACGGTCATTCCTCAAGCCTCCGGGAAGTGCGATGGGCATTAAAGAAAAAATATGTGCCAAACCATTGTTTTGCATCGTCTGTATCAGTCACATGATGTCATTTGGCCGAAAACACATTTTTTCCAGTCTTTTAACTATAGTACAAATAATTGCATATCCTGGTTTTAAATCGTTAGGTCCTAACAGTTTGTAAATACGTTATTAACCTTATATAGTTATTGTCCCTTCTGTCCTGAACCCTGAAAATAGTTAGCATTTTACTTTACTTCTAGGCTCCCTTGTTTCATAAGTGTTACATAAGATCTGTGGTTAATACAAGCTGTACAACATGTTCACGTTTTTACGAATATCCGTCTGTAAATACCCCACTCGTTGATTTCTGAAGCTTCTACTTAAAAACGGTGGTTGCCAACAAGCGACTAAATGAAGCTAATTCACGTCAAACATCAGCTGCCTTCAGCTTAGCGGTGTTGATGTGAAGTCAAACAACCTTCATCTAGGTCATTTGTAGTCTAGCATTAGCTATTTACTTTCGGCGATTAAAATGATGCTTCTACTTTCATAAAATGTATTAATGTGTGGAGATAATCCTGCTGAACAAGACATGTTGAGTATCGTTAATGTGTGTTGCCACAGAGCTTTGTGTGCCATATTTCAAAATCAATGGGAAAACCCCATTGGATTTAGTTGAGAATGCTAATATCCGGTTCAGCTTCCTATAATGCGTCATCACTGCACCCCTCTAAAGGCCCGATGGATGCAGAAGATCCAGGGATGATCTGGACATTTTCGTTCTCGAGAGTCAGGTTATTTTGGCTTTGTGCGACAATGAACAGCTTTCATAGTAATGAACAGGCCCCCACCTCCAACGCTGTTTCCAGTTCTCTTTATACATCTATCGTGGCAGGAGGACAGAATCGAAAACGAGTATCTCTACGTTTAGAGGAACTGAATGGCTTGCTAAAAGTTTCTTTCAGGATATATATAGAAGATATGAGGAATTGTTGTGATTCTCTGTAAACTTTCTGTATGAGTGAAAGTGTGTGTATGTTAGGGCCGCGTCATTTCCTGTTTGAGCGTCGACATTAAGATGTGTGCATAGTTTTCGAGGGCAGACTAAGGTTTCTTTAGAGCAATATAATTTTAGGTGAATGTTCCTGTATGTCAATATGTATCACAGAAAACGTCGTCCAGCCATAGTGCATACATACTGTAAAGTTTGCCTCTGTTGCTTTACTATAAAATACACTGAAGTAGTGTTTTTTTGTTGTTTTTTTTAAACAAAAAGATTGGATTGCTGAGTGACTATATTTTCACTTCGCTATTTAGATAGTCGCAGCTCAGTATAGTTGCTGATTTGCACAAACGTAGAATGCATTTTCGAATCAAACATCTATGAAAAGTCTGTCTTCCTTTTTATTTATTTTTTAAAGTTCTCCTCCTGGAAATATAAACAGGTTCTTGGTTCTTCAGCTGTAAGCCTGCAGACAGGCAGAGCTGTCAGATGACGGCAGTGGTTCTTTATTTAAGCTTTGATTGCGTTTCCTCACGAGAAAGTTTATTTTGCAAATCAGATTCACCACCAGAGACCCAGATGCTGTCTTATGTCCGCGCTTCATTGCCAGCGCTACGCTGATTGCTACTTCATGAATGTTTTCCAATCAATCAATGTGCTTCTCTGAATGTGTGTCACAACTAGCTTGATGATACAGTGTTTGTTTGAGCTCCTCATGTTTGTCTTGTCAGAGTCTACGGAACCTGGGAGGGTTGAAAGCTGCAGAACATACCATTTTTAATTTAAAACAGTTTTTGTGAAATTAGAAGAACTTGATATGAAGAGTAAGTCATACATAAACTGTCATGATCCCATTCTTACAGTCCACATATTCACCACAGAAGTTGAAGCTTTTATTATTTCTGTCAGATGTTACTTAATTAGAAAATCTGCCATAATATAATATTGTGATTTGTATTTAAAGAGATTTCTGCTTCTGAAATGTAATTTGATAACCGAGTAACAGGACTTTCTACTGTATGAGTTTGCACGCTATTTGAGAATATTGTCGTTCAACAAACAATATGTAAAATTTCATTAAATCGGCTTTAAATCTGTCGAAATGACCAACGTTTTATGATAGGGCATGTGTTTTCAATTTTATGTAGAACAACTGTAGCTAATAATAAAAGTGATTTCAGAGAAACGGTAAAGAAACAAAGGAGGAAAACAATTCTATCCCAATCAATGTTGTTAACCTTAAAAACAGGAAGAAAAATAATAACATGTTGCCAGGATAATAGTTTAAGGTTAAAAAAAATAGTTTAAGGTTAAAAGAAATCCTCTTTGAAATGGATGGGGTAAACATTTTATAAATGTTTTCTTTTCTTTGAATAAGTGACATTAATGTTACAAAACTTGCTAACATACAATAGGCTATATATGTAGGGAAATAAATCTCACCTCGAAGACAAGGTACATTAAGTGAAAAGGGTATTTCTTGCTATCTGAAGCCCTATTTGTATAGGCTGCAAAGGCAGATCTTCCATTTAAACAACAATCTTCATAGTACAGTATACATGTACATGATTCCATGCAGACACTCCCAGGCTTTGTCAGTATCTATATGTGCTTCTCACGTTTGCTACCTAGAGAGCCGTGGCTCCAAAGCAGCTGCTTCAGCATAAGGCCCCGCTCCAGCTCCAGCTCCAGCCGCAGGCCAAGCTCCAGCCGCCTGCGGCCCAGCATCAGCATCAGCAGCCCTCAGCCGGCAGGAGGTCCCACCGCACGCTGCCCAAGGACCAGACCCAGCTCCTGTCTCTGCAGCACGACCACAGACACAGGGAGAGAGAGAGGCAGAGGCAGAGAGAGAAGCCTGGGGCCGCGGTTCAGAAGCTAACGGCTAACAGTGGGAGCACAACTGCTACTGCTGTGGCTGCCTCCGCGCCCAGCTGCCCCGCAAACAGCCAGCGCTCCGCGGTAAAACCCTGCCTCCCTCCGCTGTGATGCACTTTTAATCACCTCTACATCCCATGTCTGTCAGTCTGCATCTCTGTGTCTCACTTTCGTTGAATTGGATGGCTTTTTACTTTAATTTTGTCCATGTTTTTATTTGTTTTACCTTCGTTTCTTACAATGGCGTATGAGGTCCAATGAGGTAAACAAAATAAATATATTTATTAGCCTTTGGAAGAGAGGTGATATTTATAGAAAAACTATTTGGGATATTCTTTGAGTTTAAAGTTGTACATTTACAGGGAATAAAATACACAAAATAGTCACGGTCACATCACTTTGATTACATGTATCACACCACAGTAAAATGGGAAATGCATCATGCACACATGAAGGTGGTGCAACATGAAAATATCCTTCATTTGTCCATTGTGTGTTTATACTTACACTGGCCCTCACACGCCGTCATAGTTTTGTCCCTTCTACCTATCCTCTTTCCTTTTTTTTCATCACGTTGCGTATATGTTAGTTTCACGTAACTTCACAAAGGTCTGCAGACAGTTTGCCAAATGTTACACAGAATGGTAATGTGGTTCACAGTTCAGACCAAAACATGTATACAAGAAAGAACTGAAGGAAGACCCGTGGGATCTTATGTGCAAGAACTCTTGGAACGGAATTGAAAGTATTCGGGTCTTGCCATTAAGACATGTCGATTTTATCAGCCACAAGTATTTTTTTCTTATATATTTGCATGCTGGCAGTTGCTGTTTGTGTAGAGGACAACATGTGGTTTATACCTTGCAGCTTATCTTAGCATAGAGGATAAACCACACAAGGAACTGGAACAGGAAGCACAGCAAAGGTGCCAATTATATTATTTTAGTTTTAAAGCAGCTGGGGGTCAAATGGCTGACTAAAGAAAATAAGTAGGTTTTATTTATTCAACAGATCCTGAACTCTGTTGTATTGGACAAAATAGATATTTTGGACTGTCGAGGTTTTCTGTGTGATCACATATTTCATCCTGTGCTATTTATAAAGTACAAACTCTCAGATGATCAGCATCAAAGTGCCTACAATTGCTTTAAAGTGTTTTGTTTAATGCTTAGGGTGTTAATGCCTGATTTGCAATTAACCTAGAGTACATCTCGTGTTGACAAGTTCAAAGAAAAAACAACACTGAGCTGTTTTGTTTGGTTATGTGATAGTAGCTCCTTTCATATCAGGGCTAGTTTATATTACATTTCTTAAGAATGTCGCTAAACTTCAAAGTAAGTAAGCTTTGTATAAAGTAGTTTAAAGTCACTTTTTAAGATGATTTTAAGTGTGAAACTGAAGTGCTGAACTCCAGTTTTTCGAAGTGTAGACTGCAATCATGTGCACCCACAATGCCCTCCCTAAAACACAAAATCAGCCAATAGGAGGCTTCCAAAGTGATGTGTCAAGACTGCTCCACATCAATCATCACCATTTATCATCACTTATTCTGTCCCACATTATACATGCTATATATATTATGTAAAATGCTTTAATGTGGGTAAGACAGTTAGGATTGTACTTGGTGTGAGAAAAGTATATGTTGATCTCAGTGTGACTACCTAATAAAATAGTCAGTTTTAATTTGACTATTTACACACACAAACACATGTGTCATACATGTGTTTTATGTTCTTAGATGGACTTCCAGGAATCAAACCTAGCCAGGCTGCTCTTAGCTGCTGGTCTCCCCAGCCAGGTACAGTCCAGGCTGGGCTCAGGGAGCAGCTCCAGTCCCTGTACTCCAGCCATGCAGAGGGCTCACCTCAACCAGGTATACACAATAAAAACATATTCCACATGTGTTGTATTCACATGTCCTCTGCTCTATTTGGTTTTGGTTTTGTTAGCACATTTAGTTGACTGCGGGTTGGTTTAAATTAACTGGCATTATTATGCGCACCTGAAATAATTTGCTTTTCTGCAGAGATTGCCTCAAGAGAATCTGAAGAACTGACGCAAAATAGTGTTTACCTAAGTTCTCATTAGAGTCTTACATTTCTAAATTGTGCAAATATAGAAGTTTGCAGATTTGGTGTATTTGCATCAATTGTGTTTGCTTTTTTTGTGTTTGCAATGAATCTACTGTACTGTAACCCACTTTGGTGACATTTTACTTTGCGACCAAACTGTTGAAGAAGTCTTGTATAACTAAAATTACAGTAACAAAAAACCTTAGGTAATCCTTTTTTTCTTTCCCCAGAATGCCAATTTGCGCTCAAGTCGAGACGCCCCTCACAGCAGCTCCATGTCAGATATGGCCATCTCCCCGTTGTCCCCGTTGTCCCCCATGTCTCCAACTGACGACGTCTTCTGGGACTCTAGAGTGCCACCTAAGGTGAGCACCGACCATCCTATTTGCTTCATGTCACATGGCAGCAGGTTGGACGACTTACATAAACTAAAATGAAAGTAAACTTGCAGAAAGGGGAAGTTGTTGTGATAGTCATGCCAGGCACTTGTAGCCTGCATCACAAGAGGTTGGCATAATATCCTGAATTCTGGCTATACTGAATTGAGGAAGTGGTGTGCCTATCGCACGAGGTTGGAACACTGTGGGTGTTTGGGAGAGAATTGGTTGTGATTTACCTTCGAGAAACACTTTCGATATTTGAAGTGGGGTTTTATCAGGTACTTATCCATGGTAATTGTTTAGAATGTTGCAGGAATAAGTCCTAAATCCTGATTTGAGTTAACATTTAAGCGTTTTTGGTCAGATTTCCTGAAATAAGGTCTGTGGTTACCACAGGCATATAAAAGACCGTTTTGTTCCATAAAATAAAATAGTTCCGTTAATACCCCACTAGTTAATGTGTTTCTGTAAAACAGTGGTTGCTATCAAGTGGCTTAATGAGACTACTATACGTCATCACTCCGAACATTAGCTGTTTTAGCTTAGCGTTGTCATGTGACTCCGGGTGTTTCTCAATGTCGAGGAAGGCTCCTCCAGAGCCACTATTTCAAGGATGCTATTTCATCGAATCCCGCCGAAGGACTGTTCCAATGTCCAGGATCCTTGGAATTCTACCGAGGACTGAATCCTTCGTTGCGGGAAATTTCGAGGATGCACCAGTGTATCCTCCGCGGTCTTAAAATCCCCACAATTGCGCACGGACCAATTTCAAAAATCTTTTGCGGAAAATGTAAGGCGGAGCCTCTCATATGACGCACACCTGCACACTTGCTAGCCTGTTCCATTCTTCGTTCTCCGAATGCCAGGAAGGATTCTTGCCTAGCTTCTGAAGGACCTGACTCGGAAGACATGTCCTACCAAGGAAGTGTCCTCGACATTGAGAAAATCCCAGAGATGTAGTTTGTTTATAGCTTAACATTAGCTATTTACTATTGGTGATTGCATTTATATTTAAAAATCACAGTCTGTCAGGGCTAGGGTTTAGGGTTAGTGTTAGCGCCCTTGCAATGCTAACTTCTGGATCAGCTAACAAAAATACGTCATCACTGCAATGCCCTATTGCCTACAATAGATGATAGACAGTACGCCCCCTTTAAAAAAAAATCCGACCTCTCGCCTTAAGGCTAATCATAAAGCGCTTTTAATTAAAAACATGGCTGTGATTTGAAAAAGTCTCTCTGTTGCTTTCTATCTCACATCACTAGCCCCCTGCTGTGTGTTTTATGAACAGAAGACGCTGTGAGTTGTATTTACTAACAGAACACCATATGGAGTTGATAAAACAACTAATAACTACTCCAGAGAGAGGAGGGGAGCCCAATAAAGCTGTCTGTTCGCTATGTCATGTTGGTGAATAACAGGAGCCATATGGAGTCGGTAGAGCTGTTAATAACTCTGTGCTCTCTAATGCGACTGCAGAGTGGTGGCTGCTTACCATGTGGGTGAGGATTTAAATGAGTTAGCTTTCAGGGACCTACACTAGAATAGGGTTTCACAGGAATGTGCTGCACCAAATCTGTGCATGTATTGATTTTTACAATAATTCAGATCATTTTACATCAGCTATAGTCTAAAGTTCAATAGCATTTTGGTCCGTTTTAGGTTTAAAAATACCACAAAAAAGGTAATATTCTGAGAAAAGTATTTCTGTAATTCTGAAATTGAAGAGTAAATGTTGAAGAATACCGGTAATAATTAAAAAATTAAATAATCATCTTTATCTATGAAGCACCTTTAAAACTACTTAGTAACTTCCAATGTTTATACAGTATGCTCCTGTAGTATTCTGGACATTTTCTAAATAATATTGTTGTTATTTTCTCTATTCCACTATTTAAGTATTTGTATTTTAATGTCCGAACACACTGCTGCTTTTGTAACGAAATCATTTCCCAAATTGGGATCAATAAAGTTTATAAATATATCTATCTATCTAGTGCTTTCACATAAAAACAGAACACATTTAAGACACACAGAGAATAACATGAGAATAAAAACAAAAAAACAGCAACTTACCACAGACAGTTAAACATACTAAAGTTATTAAAGCAACAGTGCAAAAGTTCATACCTTCCGATTCCTTTACAGAAATTAACGTTATTTGTCTGAGTTTATTTCTCTTAAAATTGCAATTTATTTAAAAACTAAATCTGATTTTGAAATATTTCCAACTATATTTCTTTGACCAAAATATAAAGATATTCTCAACCTTTTTCTTGTAAATGAACACATTTGATCTAATTTGAATAACATGTGTGCGCCACAGGCAGCTGACACTGAGTGTGTGACTGTGCGTGTGCGTTCAGATGCAGGATGTGGGCAACTCGTCAGAAGGTTGATAGGTATTCCCACAGTTGACTTCCTGCTTGGCTGGGTGTGTCTTCCTCTCTGTAACTAGGTCATGTGACCCCAGGAGATGAAAGGTCAAAAAGTCACCAGCTGGTTGGTACCATTGAGAGTTTTAGAAGAAAGAAATGTTGAAAGATCCTGTTTGAAACGCAGTGCTTTCCCAACCAGAATGATCGTTCATCCATTTCACAATCTTTTCGTGTCATGAATGCAACACTGTTGAAAAATGTTTAGGAAATATGCCTGAGTCAGATAATATTTCCAATCCCTATGTGAGATTTGGACATGGCTTTTGGGAATTTAAACATGAAATGTGAAGAAATAACAAAGCCAAACGCTCTCATTAGATTCTCAGTAATAAATATCTCCTGTTGAGTTGTTAAAGATTTTACTGCACTTTGCAAAGTTACAAAGTTGTTGTACATAAAGATTTCATAACCGCAGAAACCTTCCTATAATTAGCTGAAACCCTGCCTGGCTAGACATCATATCCTCGTAAAGAGCAAACTAATGAAAAGCGAAACAAGCAGTCAGGGCCAGCAGGAGGTGGCCATATTTGTGCTTTCACTAGCTGTCTGTCAAGAGACTACGATGAATCAATTCTCGTGTGTGTGTTCCAGGTCCCAGAACGCACTACCTCCAAGTTCTACTGTCGCGAGCTGGTGATGGGACACAAGAGGGCAGCTTCAAGGTACTGTACAACTGCAACGTGTACAGCTAACTCAAAGAGAAACGTGTCATTTATGAAGGTTGACATGTTTTATTAGTACATACACTGACATATTGTCAATATATCATAAGCTTTAGAAGTTTAAAATTAGTATTTTATTTTGACAGAAGTTATCATCGGACTGCGTAGTTCAAAATGACCGTTTTAATGTATCTCTGGTCATTGTTTGGTTTCTATCAAGGCCCTAAGGGGATCTAAGGGCCATAAGTCGGATCTAAATGATTTTATGTCATATGTTTATGACTTAAAAAATAATTTTTCTGATGGATAAACATTTTTCCCTGAAAGATTTTCGTCTGTCTTTTATCATCTGTAAAAACATGTAAAGCTTTTTGTTTTGTCAGGATTATTATATTCTTCTTACAGTTCATTTATAACATGCTAATCTAACTCCATGTCTGATGTGTAAAGAGGCCACTGGTTGCTAACATGTTGACGTAATACAATGTTAATGTCAATGTTCCATTTACACCAGATGGCAAAAAATATCAACTAGCCATTCATTTTCTATCATATAACACTCTTGAGCCCTCACCTCAGGCATATGTGATTCAAATACAATATGTCAAACAATCTAGTCAAAATCATGACAAACTAGATGAACAATGACATACTTACCAGATGTTGATGTTTAAAGGGGCCCTATTCAGCTCATTTTCGGTTTCATATTTGCATCTTGTGCCTCTACTTTGAACCGCCTCCATGCTTTAATGTTCAAAAAGCTCTTTATTTTTCTCATACTGCCTGTGCTGCAGCACCTCTTTTCACCCTCTGTCTGAAACCAGAGCCCAGTCTGCTCTGATTGGTTAGCATGGTCAACTGCTTAGAGATCACATTTTGGGGAATGGTAGCCTTTGCAGACCATTTGAATGCACAAAAACCTATATAGCACACTGCAGGAAAGGGAAAACCCCAAAAAATACCTAACAGGGCCCGCTCAAGTTTATATTTCAAAAGCCACACTGTCCTCCTACATTCAAATCCTGTCATCCAGCTGATTTATTTTAAAGATAGTACGTCACCCGTGTTTTATATACTTACCTAAAAGAGTTGGTTATAAAAGTGAGGTGTGATTAACTTTGCGAATACCCACAAACTAGTTTAGCTATAAGTATCAGCTAACAAGCAAACAAGTGGACAATTCTCAGAGAACAAATACACAATGCTGCTATTTGTCCTTAAATAAGAAACAAAACAAGTATTTGTCTTAAATAGGAGGTGAATAATAAAAAGTATTCGTAATCTTCGGTTTTGTGACCATGCTTTGAGCAGGGTGATTCTTCCCCACACAGTTCTCTTTTCAGCTATACTGAGCTTTATTTACTGTGAGGATTTATATCACACTACAATTCAGCATACTGGCATGCATTACTGGAGAACAATCTGTCACGGGTGCATCACATTAGTTTAGCTTGGATTATTATTTTCGATTAGATGAAACTAATGGTGGGGAAATTGTGTCATTGCAGTGGCAGCGTGAAGGGTAAACTGAAGATTAGAAACATATAATAATGTGGATCTCTGTTCACGTGTGTGTGTGTGTGTGTGTGTGTGTGTGTGTGTGTGTGTGTGTGTGTGTGTGTGTGTGTGTGTGTGTGTGTGTGTGTGTGTGTTTCTCTCCATCTAGTGGCAGTCCAGTGTCTGTGGCAGATCAACGCTCAGTGTCTCAGGGAGCCCCCCCGACTGGCAGCAACCACCCAGGTGTGTTCAATCTTCACTCATACTGTATGAGCAATACAAATACAGGTTTATTAGCTCCTTGAAATGAAATGGGTAGTTTTGTTATCCCTCATGTAGTCATAGCTTGTTTTGATCAGAATACTTCATTTATCCCGGGGGGGAAATTGGGTTTGGTGACAGTGACTCCATTTTAGAACAAATTAATAATAAATACATAAAACAATAGAATAAATGATAAAAAGTTCAAATTTGAATGTGCATTAAATCAATCAAATAGAAATATTAAAATTCACATAAAACGTAATTAAAAAAAGCCTAATAAAACATAATAAGCTAAGTTAAAGCAAGAACATGCAACAAAAATAGAAAATAAATAATTTAATACACATGAAAAGTAAAATTACCAATAAAAGGTACAAAGAATGAATACAAATATGTATACAAACACAAGAAGTTAAGTTAAAGTAAGAGTGTGCAATAACAATTACCTCAAAACACGATGGGCAGAATGTTAGCATATTGGATGGGCATGCTCTGGGTCCATGTATTAACTTTTATATTTGAAATATCATTATTGGTAAATGGCCATTTTAGGAAATCATGCCTTAATTTGCAGGGAGCTGGAATTATCTACAGACACAAAACCTGGTACACACAACAGAACATGTGACCCTTTCTAAGATGTACACATCTCTTATTATTTTGTGATCAAGTTTGCAGCTTGTTTTTCCCACAGATTTGGCATAGGTGTGAAATAATGCTTCCAAAAGCACATACCCCCAAACCCTACACTAATAAAGAGACACTTCCAGATGGAACAAAAACGTACTATACCAACACAGTGATGAGTTCAAAGCCTGTGCGTCTCGAGAGAAGATACTCACCTCTTTCAAAGCTCTGCTCTCTGTGATCTCTCTGCATCAAGGACTCTCTTGTTTTGACTGTAAAATACAGAGGGAAGAGAAGACTTTTGGGAGGATATTACATTATGTGTATCAAAGATCTGTGTGTGTGTAGTGGCCTGGAAGCAGCTTGTGGTACCTCTCACTCAGTTTTGCTGCAAGCCAAAAGGTCGGAGCAGCAGATCAGAGATTCTCTTCAGCTTTCTGTGGGTTTATAGCTCTTAATATGCTTTTGATGCAACTGAGGAAAATACAATTTCCTCTTTGAACTTTACTGTGATTGCAAAGTGTATTTAGAGCAGTGATAATCATGTACATGTACAATTGAATAAGATGCCTATGATGATAAAAACAGTGTTAATCCAATATGGGGAAAAAACAAGTGGTGCTTGTGTTTCTCAAAAAGAAGACTATTTCCCATGAACCCCTTTTGTTTTATATGACCAGGGCAAGTGCTTCTTTTAGATTATTTACCTGACACGCCTTGTGTTCATTATGTTTGTGCTCCAACTTGTTATAGTGTAGTGTCCCCTTAAGCTTCATTTAGGTACACTGAAAAGATGTCTGTATATCTTGCAAAGGAGGCTGGATCTAGAAACGAGTATATTTACAGACTCATTCAGGCTGGGATTTAGGGAATATAATATACAATATACAGTTCATATACTGTATAATTATGTAAATAATATATGTCGCCATCTAGTGGCCAGCTCTCAAACAACTTGATGTTGACACCCATTAATGTGACCAGCATTTGTCAAATCGTTTACGATGCTCTGAATTGCACGATGTCCATACCCAGAACAAAGACAAAGAACTGAACCAAACTCCATGCATCCATTTAAAAGGTGTTTCACGGATGTTGGTATTGTATTGCATGTACTATATTGGTGGTTACAAGTACATTTCTCTCCCAGTTTAACCTTATAAACTGACACTTTTTTGGAATTGGGGAACATGTCTGCTTAAGGATCAGCAGGTCTTACTTTAGACTTTAGGTCCAGTTGGAGTAAATCTTCTCTATCATTCAGTATCAACAGTTACAGTGTATGTCTGTAAATCTATCCTCCTAGTGATACACAATGTAAGATCCCATATAGACAACAGCAAAGGCAGCCATGTTTTACAATGGCTCCATTTGTCCATGGTGATTAGACCTCTCAGCACTAATGTTACTATGGTACGAGTTCAGTGCTTTACCCTAACACTAACCCTGATCCTGCTCAACAGCTGCTACTAATCTAACTAATAAGTGTATCTGTGTATTGAAGGGTTCTTCAAGCTGGAGAGTCCTCTTCTACAACACCGTCTCCAGCAGCACAGGAGGACACAGGACAATGTGACCAGTGGACAAACACAGGTACACTGAGAGTCTTTTGTTCACTGAAAGAAAGAAACTGTAGTTACATTTATCTTGATTTAAAATGAGGACTAGTAATATAAAGTTGGCTTCTTCATTAAATGTAAATGACATCCAAGCATGTTTTGTTAGTCTTTCTTGCTGAGATGTGGAACAGTTTGTGTTATTCTCTTCTTTGAACCACATTATACAAAAGTCTACATTGTAATTATTCTCCTCTCTGCTCTTTCTCTGATCTCCTGACCACATTTACTCATGTTGTCCTCTCCTCCATACTGCAGGGTGTCCGATCTGCTCTGATTCGCCTGCACAAGGCCACAGAATATTCATCTTCCAGTGACGAGGTTGGCAGCAGCGATGACGAAGAGAGGAACAGGTAAGATCTTCATCATCATTATCATAGAGTGTTGAAGTGATTTGTGTAGGCCGACCTAGAAGATAGCATCGCAATGGATCCGTTGACTAAAAGCAAATGTTTGCCTTGATGACGTTTTGTAGATACATTTAGTTAACACGGTTTTTAAGATACATAGAAGCTTCGGACATTCACAAGTGTAGTATTTTCTGACTTACTATGTCGTTGTAACAATATGGGAACATCTCTTAAGCTTGTGTTAGCCACAGACCTCATTTCAGGCATCCAACCACAATGAGGGAACCGGAAGTGTTGAAACACTGACTCATGTCTAGGTTTATGGACTCATTCCTGCACCCCTCTCCAATGGCATTGTGCTTATTTTATTCTCAGTCCTTCCTTTTAATACCAAACCACTGAAAAAGTTGTGACAAAGAATTTAGACATTTTTTCCGTGTTCCCATGCCACAGTTATGAAAAATGGCCTGTTGCAACATGTAATTGTGAAATGAACATAATAATCAGACAAAAGTTTTAGTTTTCCTTACTCAGAATTCTGTCGCGTCTCCTGATAAAAACCTGTGTGTGGAAAAGGTTCTGCTGACTGCCAAGGCTAAGTGAACTCCAAATTGCTAAATGTATTGACGGAAAGCGGCACATTTTTAAAATGCAAACTTCCCATAGCATAATTGACGGTTTATTAGAAAATGTAAACCTTGAAAATATAGCTTGCCAATTTAAATTATTCATTATTTTATATTTAACATACCGCCAATATCTCATTCGCGTTAATTGTATAATAATGGTGATGGTTCAAGAATACATTATTTTTGACTTTTATTATTCCTCTTTTGGTTTGAACGTTCTATCCGTGGATGGTAATCATTGCCTTGGATTTTGAAGATGTATTGATCTGCTTTTTAGGAATAAATGCAGTCACGCTCAAGTTTAAAATCTCTGTTTCAAGGTCTGACCTGTCCAATGGAAAGGGGAAATACTTCAGAGGAATACCTGATGGAATCGTGCTGCAGCCTCACCACAATCTCAATCAGGTACCCTACCAGTAAACAAACACACACACACACACACACACACACACACACACACACACACACACACACACACACACACACACACACACACACACACACACACACACACACACACTGTTTTTCTTGCTTCATACTTTGTCTGTTACCGTGTCGTGCAGATTTCTCGTGTAGCTGCAGATGACACCTACATGCTACCAGACCTTCTGCAGAAAACCTCCTCCTCCAGTCCTACCCACAATGCACTGGGCCAGGAGCAGCGAAGGCGTGAACTGAACTACTCGCAGTCCCCCACAGCCCCTCGATCCCCCACACACCAGGAACTACATGTGAGTATATAAGGAGGAGAGTGCAGTCAGAGAAACTCAAGTTTTTTAAATCAACACACTTAAAAGGTCCATGTTAGGATATCAGCGACTATGTTTACATGCACAGTATTATAATTGGTTGATGCATTTCATGTACACAGCAAAATAAATTAGGATGTATTTAATTACGCCTGATTTTAAATGTATGGCTTTTAGATATAGAAATGTGGGATTATTCAGGTTTTTGGAGCATTCTTTGGACGTGTATAGGGGACATTTAGAATATGCAACTCAATCAGGGTTTTTACTGCCGTGTGCGACACAGCCTCTACGCTTTGCGGCCAACTCTGTGCATTTTGTGCAAATTAACTAGGTGTCAATTTGCAAGGTTGGGGTGGTGATGTAAGCCCAAAATATAAGCTCACGTTTATGATCGGAAGGAGAAACCTATATACTAATAAAGACAATGGATTATTTGCATATAAGGAGGGTTATTATGAGTATGTGAAAATGTCTCAACACCAACCTTTTAAACGACACGATTGCCGAAATATTATTGGAAGGCTTTATTCACTTTGAAGAATCATATTTTGATGGAAAGAAGCAAGAAGAAACTCCAGCTGTTATATTTTGATCATTATTATTATTACCATGCACGGTTCCATGTAAATAGGAATATTAATTTGTATTTGTCATTTAAACAGCTTGTTGTTTTTTTGTGGTTAAGAGCTAAAGCTTAGTGTGTTGTCCATGTTAACTTAGTATTGTAATCGTAGTGCTCTAAAGTTTGAAAAGCAGCAAAAGATCTCTTATGATAAAAATAGGATTATTTACATGATCAAGACAAACCCTTTTGATAACAGCAGACTGCGTTACCTAAACAGAGAAGTGAAAATGTGTTGGGCATTGCACAGCCTTGCCTTAACAAAGGAGAAATATTTGACCAGTTGCATTTGTTAAACATGTCCACCAGAGGGAAGTGGTGGCACAGTTTAAGTTAATAGGTAGCACATTCAGAAAGGTCTCTAACAATAGTAATGAAATCAAATAAGTTTAAAAGGAAACCTAAGTGTTAATGGTGATGCTGCAAAGTTATTGTCACTTGTCTATGAAGCTGTGATGTTTGTGTGTTATTTCATATGGAGCCAGAACCAAACTATATGTGTTTTTCTTGTTGTTGTCCATCTTCAGGCCATCAGCAGTCCTACTGGTAAAAACACTTCCACGTCTTCTTCTTCCTCCTTCCTGTCATTCATCGATCCAAGATTGATCCCCATATCATCGCCACCCCAGAGCCCTGGTGAGGACACACACACACACACACACACACACACACACACACACACACACACACACACACACACACACACACACACACACACAGAGATCTGCATTCATACATATGTATTCATACATATGTATTAATCTGTAAGTAAATAAAGAAATTCAATCCATACATTATTTTTCTTTTCTTTATTGTAGATGTTTTTATATGAAGTAATTCACACAAGACAACTTTTTTATTCTTACACACTTTACTCAGTTGACTGCACAATGCATTGTCAACATTGGTTAATTTCTCCCAATGTAGTGGGCATTAAGGGTGAGCTGATTAAGAGGGAGAACCACAGGAAGGGCTCGGTGGTGAACGTTAACCCGACCAACATCCGACCGCAGAGCGACTCTCCAGAGATCAGGAAGTACAAGAAGAAGTTCAACACTGAGGTCCTCTGTGCTGGACTCTGGGGTTTGTCATTTTGTTGTATTGTTTTTAAGTATACATCATTTTTACGTGTCCATACTCCGCTTGTTTTTTATTGGTTATTTCTCCCAGCTTTACAGACACTGCAGATGATTGCATGTTGGTCGTAGGGTGTAATGTTTGTGTCTTCTGTTTGTCCTGCAGGTGTGAATCTGTTAGTGGGAACAGAGAACGGTTTGTGGCTGCTGGATCGCAGCGGGCAGGGGAAAGTCTACTCGCTCATCAGCAGACGGAGGTTTCAACAGATGGATGTTTTGGAAGGACTCAATGTACTAATCACCATATCAGGTACATGTACTGTAGGTTAAAGTAACACAAAAACACTGACTCTGTCTTCATATACCTGCATTTGCACTTAGACTAATGGAGATTAGCTTTGCTTTTGACAAATTAAGAATTACAGCAATAATATCAAATGAATTACTGAACAAGCATAACAGGCACAGAAGCTTAAAGCATCAAAGGCCCACCTGGCCTTTACCAAAAAAAATAAACAGATCATAAACAGACTCAAATTACCTCAAATACAGATATAGAGACACAAAAACGACAAACCAAAATGACCAGAAGAAGACACCCACTCTGCAGGAAGAAGGAAAACGCAAATTATCACAAAGAGACACAAAACCATCAAATAGAAACCTGAAATGCCTACAATGACACCCAAAAAACGAAAAGGGGCGAAACGTGCACATATCAATAATACAACAAACTATAAAGTCTGTGTCTTGCTCCTATGAAGGAGAGGTCATAGGGCCTGCTGCACGTCTGCCAAGGGGATCATTTTCACAGTTATCCTTCAGCAACAACCACAACTACTGCTAATCCAATATGACTTTTGGTTATGGTTTTTGCTTTCTTTTCAAATCTATTCTAATCAGGATTCACGATCACCCTTCTGTCTATCTTGCGCTGTTACTCCAGGTAAAAAGAACAAGCTCCGTCTGTACTACCTGTCCTGGTTGAGGAATAAAATCCTGCACAACGACCCAGAGGTGGAGAAGAGACAGGGCTGGACCTCAGTAGGTGACCTGGAGGGTTGTGTTCACTATAAAGTGGGTAAGTACACACTGCGAAGGGCATATTGAATGGTACATTATATATCTTCCAAGCTACAGTTAAAATATACAGCACAAATGTATTATTTAGCACACTCTTTGAGAGAGACGTACAGAGTCAAAGAAATGAGGTATCAACTTGTTGAGGTCTTTTTTCATCTTGTTTCTTCAGTGCGTTACGACAAGATTAAGTTCTTGGTGATTGCTTTGAAGAACGCAGTGGAGGTGTACGCCTGGGCCCCAAAACCCTACCACAAATTCATGGCCTTCAAGGTTTGTAACATTCAATTGAAATGCAAAATGTAACTTTCTCAGGAACAACGATGTAAGCAACATATACCATGCATGCTACGGTGTAGGGTATTCAATTGATCTCCTTGTATACTGCGGATACTGGATAGATGTAATGGCTTTAAATGCAGTACAGACTTCAGTGGTCAATAAATGGTAAACCCTCGGTAACCAGATGGAGTTACATGCAAACTTCAACCTGCTCAGCCAGTATTCTAATTCCTTCAAATGTTACCCAAGTCGTATTAAAACCATCTCCAACAAGAGAACAATAGATAGTTGCAGGAATGATTCATGAAGTCCGAAGATGTGTGGCACCTACTGGTTCTTTCATCTCAATGTCATTGTTTTTTAAACTGTTTTGTTTATAAAAACACGATCACAAAATTATGAGTTTCTATTTTTAGTTCTATGACATTAAATACGTCATCAAATACCCCACTTCTGAGTTTTGAAGCTTTTTAGTGTCATACCAAACTGCATTTGCCAACAAGTGTCTCAATGAGGCTACTAAACATCATCCAGACAACCATTAGCAACCTTTAGCTTAGCACAATCCCATCTGCTTTTTGTTGAGGGAGCCCTTGTGATGCTAACATTCTGGTCTGCTTAGAAAAATATGTCATCCCTGCGCTCTATACAGTTGTCCTTTTATGTTTTCACTAGAGTTTTGCACAATCTAGGCCAAACTCATTGATAGACATGGAAGAAAAAAATAATAGGGTCACTTCCACAATCAGAAACATGCACATATACATAGACATGACACATCCAGGCTATCAGAGTCACAGATCTCAGCAGAGCTGTGTCCCATTTCTTGGTGGCCTGAGCTACTTTTTTTCTTCAGAAAAGGCCAAAAATAAACCACCTTGTGGAAGCATGACTATCTTAAGGTTGCTATTATATGCTCATCACATTGTCACAGTCACTCCTAACGTATAAATGCAGCCGTTCCAGTCAGATAACTGTTCACATTTCATTTTTAAATGTATCATTAAAGGTTATGATTGTAATGGAATTTTAGATTTAGTTTAGACTATCTCCGATGAGGTGATTTGCTGATGTTTTTGAGCATTTTTCTTTGTGTGAATCTCTATGCAGTCCTTCCGGTCGCTGCCTCAAAAGCCGATGTCTGTTGACCTGACAGTAGAGGAAGGCCAGAGGTTAAAGGTCATCTACGGCTCCCTCTCAGGTTTCCACGCCATTGACGTTGACTCTGGAACACCTTACGACCTCTACCTGCCTACACATGTAAGATAATATTGCTTATGATCAGTATATTTTCTTGTTTGTGCCATTATCAGTCTCAAAACGTTTCTAAAAAGTCAAAGCTTGTCGCCAACTCTCCAAATATTTTAGGCATAAAATGACACATTTCTCACATACTTCACCAAAAGAACTAGTTTGAGAAATGTCGCTAATCTTAAAAAAGTCTATCTCCAAAAACAGGGGGTTGAGAATATTTTCATAACAACTGAATATGTAAAGTACGGAGCCGTTTAAATATCTCTAATCTCTGATGTAGTACATGATACAGATATAATTTTCACTCTAGCTTGAACTCTCTCTTATACCTGACTTATTTTTTTATCATCCACTTTTATACACCATTCTCTCTGGATTCACCTCTCCTCCTCCTCTTCCTCCCACTCATAAGTCTGCAGTTTTCAGTCATTGCTGTTCTTTCTCTCTCCTGTTCTCCTCACTCCACCTCCCCCCCACTCACCTCCCACTCAGTGTGAAGCTGTCAAACACTGAACTCTTCCTCTTTCATTATTCTCTTGATTTCCTCCCACTCATCTAATGTGGCATCATTCATTGGCTCATTTGTATCTTCCCTTTTGTTTCAATAGCCACACTTCCATTGCGCTCTCTCTCTCTCTCTCTCTCTCTCTATGTCTCTCTGTTCTGTCTGTGGGCAGGTAAAGCTCAGGGCATAATTTTGTGAGTCATCATGTAGACATTTCCGTTCAGATGTTGTTACTTTTCACCCCTCAAATGGCATTCTGACTTTCAGTTGAATTGCAGAGACTAATCAAGTGCATGCTATCCGACCGTCACTGGATTGTTGACGTTAGTAGACCAGCATCAGTTATTTTGGATTTTAGTTTAATGATTTTGGATTTGATGTTTTCCTTGTGCATCATTTTCTGTAAGTCAAAACGCATTCTTACATCTTACTTACTGATTTGACATAGACAACCATATAGAGCTCAACAACATGATGTAGTTTGTGTATATTCTTAGCCACACTACCAGCGTGACTCTCGGGACGTTTTGGAAGCTTATTCTACAATTGTTAAACTTTAGTATGGACTTATAAGGGCCTGCGTTCACATAGCACCATTTTCTGACACAACAACGTTTGACAACGTATCACCACTGTTGTATGACAGACTAACTTCGCCCCCTTTGATTTTTGTATCTCCTTGTGTGACTGGTAACACTTTATATTAAGGTACACAAATTCACCATCAACTAGTCAAGGTCAAGGTTCTTTGTTTTTGTCATACGAACATAGCTACAGAGTAGTTATGTCGATGAAAATCTTAGATCAAAGGCTTCTCCAACAGTGCAACACAATAACACAGATAAATAGAAAAATATAGTGCAAGTAAATATTAAAAAGTAAATACAAAAAGAAAATGTGTGTTGAGGATCAGGGTGGAGGATGTGATGTTTCCCACCCGCACTGCCTGGGGTCTGCCCGTCAGGAAGTTCAGGATCCAGTCACAGAGGGCGCTGTTGAGCCAGAGGTCTCTGAGCTTGATGACCAGCTTGGAGGGCACAATGGTATTGAATGCTGAACTGTAATGAACAGCATTCTCACATATTTGCGGCTTTCACACCAGTGCTTTTCCCGTTCTAGCTCCGTGCTAGAGCTTTTCTGGTTCAGTTCCGGTTTCCCTTCTCTGCTCCCGTTTTGTTCACACCGCCCAGAGCCCGATTGGTGCAGCCGCTGCTGCGTCATGACGTCACCGTTTACATCGCTGATTTGCTCCCAAACGGCGCTCACAACAACAACAACAACAACAACAACAACAACGGGGGACTGCGTCGGGTCGATGATCGTGTTGCTTTTAATCATACGAAGTCAGATTTAAATAAAATAACGACTTCTCCAAGCTTATACTTTTCTCCAGAGTGCCGTGGTTCATTGTTTATTCAATTCAATTTGAAGAAAAAACGAATATCCGAATAACGAAATTGAAACCCGAATACTACTCCAACGAACGAATATTCGGATACAGTAGGGTTGTACCCGAATAATATAATTAATAATCAAAATCAAAGAAAATCAAAGTACCGGAGGAACACAGGATTTAATTCTGTGTGGACAGAGTTATATGCTTTCACAGCAAACAATGCTGGTTTACCGGTATGTTTGATATGTAGAAAGAAGTTGTCAAAGGTGCTGCAGCCTTTACGTATCGAGAAACAACGGGAACAACACGGGAGAGAAAGACAGCTGACGATCTTCAGTCATAATTCAATGGGGTATGTAATTTATTTCAGAAAACTTTTTGTTATATTCCATGTTTCTGAAATAAATTACATACCCCATTGAATTATGACTGAAGATCGTCAGCTGTCTTTCTCTCCCGTGTTGTTCCCGTTGNAGCATTAGCCCAGCGCAGAAACTCAGAGAGACTAACTTATGGCAACACAAAAGAAAACATGGGAGCGGTGGAGATGAGGAGGTGTCAGCGTTCTGGCGATTTACTCGGAAGGCTTCAGTAGAAGCTGCTGGGAGTCCCAGCAGCTTCTACTGAAGCCAGTCCCCAACTCCGGGGACTTCCGGCCGGATGGCAGTATACGCCATGAAGTTGTTTGCGGCCTGCCAGTAAACCCAACGCAGAAGAAGAAGAAGTGACGTCAGCAGCTTCATTTGCCTAATCCTCCCCCAGGGACTTATTCCGGTGAAAACAATCCGCATGAACTAAGTTCTGATGAACCTTTGTGGGAAAAGTACTGCAGTGTGAATGCGCCTAAGGACTACCGCCCAGTAGCACTCACCTCCTTCATAATGAAGTGCTTTGAGCGGTTAGTCCAGGGGTCTGCAACCTTTTTGACCAAAAGAGCCATTTTGCTCCTTTTTGCCAAACATTTTTTTTTCTGGAGCCGCAAAACATATTTCATAGCTTGATAGCTAATAAAGTTGTATTTATGGTTATTTCATACAAAAACTACAGTTTGCATTTATTAGGCTATTTATTACGTTGTATAAAACTGTTAACCTCTAATAAGAAACAAAGAACTCCTATAAAGGAGAATTCAAAATAATACACAGCCCTACTTTAAAATAAATTAAACACAGCACTTGGGGAGTCCTCTGCACATTTGAAGGAAACAAATATATAATTAAAATGTGCCCACTTTGAAATAAATAAAAACATATAGCCGCACCCTAAAAAGAGTTAACGTTGGGGTAGGTAAGAATGGAGAAACCAGCTCGAGTGCGCTAGATTTTGAAAATACACAACCGGAAAAAATCTGCCTCTTCCTTCAGACTTCCTCACAGAGCCCCTCCTCCAACACACGAACGCGCACATGACCAATGAGGGCACGAGATAAATGTGTGCACAGATGGAAGGCTGACAGGCAGGTAGGCCATCCAGTTACTTTATCCGGGCCGGCTCAGATGATTGGTCGTGCTTTTTACAGCGCTACGGCTTCCAGAGATTAATTTGTGTATGTATTTATTGTCAAAGCATTTAATATATTCATTGCTATCGGGACGTTAAGAGCATTCCATGGAATATAACAAAAAGTTTTCTGAAATAAATTACATACCCCATTGAATTATGACTGAAGATCGTCAGCTGTCTTCCTCTCCCGTTGTTGTTCCTCGATACGTAAAGGCTGCAGCACCTTTGACAACTTCTCTCTAGATATCAAACATACCGGTAAACCAGCATCGTTTGCTGTGAAAGCATATAACTCTGTCCACACAGAATTAAATCCTGTGTTCCTCCGGTACTTTTCTTTGATTTATCCATAGTTCGCTCGTCGAGCCGGGGGTCCCCGCGCGAGCGCCTCCAAGAAAAGGCGCTCGCGCGGGAACGTAGCAGGATGTGACGCATATTTTAATTGACCTAATTAAAACCGTTTTGTTTTTTATTTATGTGTCACAGTATCACCTCAAAATACAAGATACGAAACATTTTCAACCNATCATGGAGGAGGATGTGAGGTTTCCCACCCGCACTGCCTGGGGTCTGCCCGTCAGGAAGTTCAGGATCCAGTCACAGAGGGCGCTGTTGAGCCAGAGGTCTCTGAGCTTGATGACCAGCTTGGAGGGCACAATGGTATTAAATGCTGAACTGTAGTCAATGAACAGCATTCTCACATACTGTATGTGTTCCTCTGGTCCAGGTGTGAGAGGGCAGTGTGGATGGTGAGGGCTATGGACCTGTTTGCTCTGTAGGCAAACTGCAGGGGGTCCAGAGAGTCAGGGAGGGAGGAGGTGATGAAGGATTTGACTAACCGCTCAAAGCACTTCATTATGATGGAGGTGAGTGCTACTGGGTGGTAGTCGTTGAGGCTGGTGATTTTTGTCTTTTTGGAGAAAGGAACGATGGTGTTTAAAACATGTGGGGACGACAGACTGCAGCAGGGACCTGTTGAAGATGTCTGTGAACACCTCTGCCAGCTGAGCTGCACAAACCCTGAGAACACGGCCAGGGATGCCATCAGGTCCAGGAGCCTTGTGTGGGTTAACCCACACACATCTGCCCTGTTTAAAACAAAAGGGCAGGGCTCCTGATCCTTCTCTGGACCCCCAGCCTGGCTGCTCTCAAATCGTGCAAAAAAACTGTTCAGCTAATCTGGGAGAGATTCACACCGTTGAATAAGGCTGTTGACACAGCCACAGCCCGTGTGGAGTGTGCACGGCAGGCTCTCCCCGCTTATCTGTAGGCATGTGCAATGCATTTGGCAGAGCCAGCCTGCTAGGCGCGTTTCTTGTGCAGAGGCTTTCGCCGGCCCACAGCCAGCGCGCCGGAGAACGACGCCAAACATGCTGTTCAGTGCGTCTAAGGGCAGCTGTGCGCTCCACATAACATGCTAGCGCACGCACCGGGCAGAGGAGGTGCAATTTAGCTTCCCTGGCCCCACCATGGGGTGGAAGACTAAAGCCCCCTAGCTATCCTAACTGAATAGCCCTCGACCTGAACGCACTCCTTAGGCTCTTGGGCAAAGGAGGGGCTGGTCTGAGTGTCACCCCGCTCCGGTTACCCCGAATCAACAAGCAACTCGGGTGCACCGACAGAGCGGTTAACTCGGACACTCTCTTGGCTGACGTTAAGGCAAGTAGCAATGCTGTCTTCCACAACAGTCCTTTCAGGGAGAACAGCTCCAGAGGCTCAAATGGTTCTGTGACCAGAGCCTTGAGCACCAACGGCAGGTCCCGGAGGCGTGCACTACTGGGCGCAGCCTCCTGACCCCTGTAAAAACCGCGAAATCAGTGGCTGAGAAAAGGCTGACCTGCCCTCAAATCC